ACATACAGGCACCTTTCCTGAGTCTCTAAACGGTTATTCAATTCACATGCAACTTTTTGAAATACATGTATTATATAAAACAAAGGAATACAACAGTTTCAAAATCTGCACATTTTGAATATCTATTTCTATTTGATGATTTTTTATTAGGTAGTTATGACTTAGAGCCTGAAATCCACCTTTAATGTTTGAGGATATTTATGTGCCTATTAATGATCTTGAATATCCTTCTATTGGCAATTTAGATTGCATCACCATGTGACCTAATTTTAAATTATTAATTTTATTTTAAAGCTATTGCCAAGTTGGAATGAAGGGTTTTTTTTTTTTTCTTGGTTGTTGTCGTTAGTTTTTAAGGATTTTAAATGAATGGGAAAAATAATTTTTTAGCATACTACTTCTTCTTTTTCTTTTTCTTTTTTTTTTCTTTTTTGAGACACAATCTCACTCTGTCTCCCAGGCTGGAGTGCAGTGATGCGATCTTGGCTTACTGCAACCTCTGCCTCTTGGGTTCAAGCAATTCTCCTGCCTCAGCTTCCCAAGTAGTTGGGATTACAGGCATGCGCCACTGTGCCTGCCTAATTTTTGTATTTTTAGTAGAGACAGGGTTTCGCTGTGTTGGCCAGGCTGGTATTGAACTCCTGACCTCAAGTGATCTGCCCACCTCAGCCTCCCAAAGTGATGGGATTACAGGCGTGAGCCACTGTGCCCTGCCCATACTTCTTTTTTCTTTCAAATAATTTTATAAAGAAAATGTAATGCTCATATTATACATATTTAGTTATTTTAATGTATACTCTTTTATAAACAGTAGCTTAAAAAGTTGATTGCTACAACAAGGATATACAGTTATCTGAGTGGAGAGAGTTCTGTTTTTGAGCCTCATTCATTTCATAGCCATGTCTTGGTGTTAAACTTGCTATTGGATTTTTTTCTCTTCTAGTTTTCTTCTTCTTCTTCTTTTTTTTTTTTTTTTTTTTTTTGAAATGGAGTTTTGCTCTTATGGTCCAGGCTGGAGAGCAGTGGCGTGATCTCAGCTCACCGCAACCTCCGCCTCCTGGGTTCAAGCGATTCTCCTGCCTCAGCCTCCCTAGTAGCTGGGATTACAGGTGTCCGCCAGCACGCCTGGCTAATTTTCGTGTTTTCATTAGAGACGGGGTTTCACCATGTTGGCTGGGCTGGTCTTGAACTCCTGACCTTACGTGGTCCACCCACTTCAGCCTCCCAAAGTGCTGGGATTATCGGCATGAGCCACTGCCCCGGCTTCTTTTCTAGTTTTATGTTTTGAGGTAACTGTTTTCTCAGTTGACAATAACAAACTATGATGCATGAATAGATAAAAGAATGAAGGTATTGTTATTAAAAATAAGTTATCTGTTTTTTTGGAATTCTGGGCTTATTCAGCTTCTTAGAGTACAGACAACTAGAGCTAAGTCCAAATTTTATTTTCTTTTATGTATTTCATATATGAGAAAAGATTTTCATTCATGTTCTTATATTTGACATTCATAATAGTCAGTAAACTTTTTCTGTAAAGGGCCAGATAGTAAATATTTTATGCTTTGTGGGTCATATGGTCTCTCTTGCAACTACTCAACTGTGCCATTATGGCGTGAAAACTGCCATAGAGAGTACGGAAGTGAATTAACTTGTCTCTGCTTCCTTAAAACTTCAGAGGAACAGAAATTTGAGTTTAATATAATTTTCATGCATCACAAAATATTATTTTTTAAAAATGTTGTTCAGCCACTTAAAAATGTAAAAACCATTTTTAGCTTACGGACTTTGTAAAAACAGGTTATGGGTCAAACTTGGCTGTTGGGTAATTGTTTGCTGACCCTTGTGACTGTTCATTGTCTTCTCTTTTCTTCCCTTTCTCTTAACATCTGTCTCCTTTATTTCTTACTTTCTGTTTTGCTGCTCAATCGTGTATTTTATTTCATTGTTAATGTGTGTATAACTTGATTTTTTTAGATTAAATTTTAAGCTATGGAGGGTAGGGGTCTATAATTTTGGCCTCTTTATTACCTTGCATTTTTATAAAAGTTATATGCTTAGTAAGAATTTGGGAGGATAGCAGAGAAATAATGTCTGTCATTTAATATTTGAAAGATTGTTGTGTAAATTCTTTTATTTCACTTATTAGTTTATTAAACATATGTCCCAGAATGGTTCTATCTCATTAATGAATAGAAGTCATCTCAGTGGTAAGCTAAAGGAGAGGAAGAATCTGTGAATTGATTTTGTTCCTTGTGTCATGTACTGTGATTGATGATATGAACAGTACTCATTTAGTCTTTACACTCCCTGTTTTTTTCTTTGTTTGTTTGTTTTTTAAACGAGATGGGGTCTTGCCCTGTGGCCCAGGCAGGAGCGCAGTGGTGCAGTCATAGCTCACTGTAACTTGAAACTCCTGGGCTCAAGCGATCCTCCTGCCTCAGAATCCCCAGTAGCTGGGATTACAGGCACACACTACCATGCCTAGCTGACATTTTTTATTTTTAATTTTTTGAGAGACTGGATCTTGCTTTGTTGTCCAGGCTGGTATCAAACTCCTGGACTGACACTACTTTTTGTATTTTTTGTAGAGACTGGGTTTCACTCTGTTGGCCAGACTGGTCTAGAACTCCTGACCTCAAGTGATCTGCCTGGCTGGGCCTCCCGAAGCGCTGGGATTACAGGCGTGAGCCACTTTGCCTTGCCTCTTACCTTTCTTTAAATGTGTTGTTTCACAAAAGTGAATTAGTAGAATCGCGCAGTGAAATAAGATTGGAGAAGTTACAAACAGTTTCTACCAACCCATTTGTTTAGTAGAAACCAACGATTAAATCTCAAACTGGTCATTTCAACTAATTTGCTTGAAAGAAATGGAAGATTGAGTAAAGATAAATAAAGATTAAAATGTAAATGAAGAGGGTATCTGATAATTAGAGTACTTGGTGAGTTTCTCCCTTGGCTCAACATTTTGTTTGTGTGTCTGTACTGATATGGGGAACTGAGACTGGTGAGCGAGGTGCACAGTGATAGAATGTGTGTGAGGTGCTGGAGGGGCACAGGAGGGTATGCTATTCAGCTTGAGTGGTTGAGGGGTTCCAAAAGGACCATGTATTGGGGAGGTGGTATTTGGACTTCTTTTTCCCCTTTATTAGCTTTAAAAGTTACTTAAAAATGCATAGTTATTGAAAATAAACAATCCAGAATTTAGTAAAAAGTGCAAATCCTTATTTATCCTTTCTGCTGTCAAATTCCCGTTCTTCAGAGTTGTAGTTTGTTGACTGATAAATATGCTTCCAAATTGAGCTTTTGCTATGCATATAATTTTGTAGCTTGCTTTTTTCCCCCCATATAATACTCCATCCTGTGCATATTTCCATATTAGTAGATATAGATCAATCTCATTTAAGATCTTCTGCCTCACGTAATGGTATGGATATATCGTAAATTATTTACATTATTTCCTATTGCTGCACATCTAGGTTTCTAACCTGTTACAGTGAATATTCTCATACATATACATTTGTTCTCTTGTGTAAATTAAGTTTTAGATGATGAGTAGGTAAAGGGACTGAGGACTGATGTGGATGAAAAATGTTTTCTAGGTTAAGGGGACAATGCATAGTTTGAAAAACTTTGCTGAAGCGAATGAGAAGCTTTTAGTCAGGAAGAAGTGTTTTTGTTTCTGCGCTAGAGAGTGCAGCACCTTCTATTTTCCCCAGTTGTATGCTAGTGCATCTCATTTTATCATAGGCATTTCCTTACTGAATAATTCATGGTTATTTTCTGATTTTAGAGATTTAAAAACTTCTTAAAAATAAATGTTACCCGATGGGGAAGCAGAATCACAAGCCGATAAGGTGATGATTATTCAGAGGTGTCACAGAGGTGAAGTGGGAGTTCTGGAAATAGAGTTTTTTGTTTTATTTTGAGACAGGGGCACCTAGGCTGGAGTGCACTGAAGCCTCAACCTCCCAGGCTCAAGTGATCCTCCCACTCAGCCTCCTGAGTAGCTGGGACTACAGGCATGAGCCACCACGGTTGGCTCATCTTTTTATTTTTTGTAGAGACAGGGTCTTCCTGTGTTTCTCAGGCTGGTCTCTAACTCCTGGGCCCAAGCAGTCCTTCCCCTCAGCCTCCCAAAGTGCTGGGATTACAGGTGTGAGCCACCACGGTTGTTCCGGAAATAGTTTTTATCCTACCTCTGTCTCCTGAGAATATCTTACTCAGTGTAAATCCCCCATTACTATCCAACTTTAAAAAAATTTAGTTAAATCTTAAAATACCTCTTTGAGAATTGCTAGTTTATCAAGTAGATATATGAAAATGGCATAAATGATTTAAAGTAGATGAATTACATTTTGTTATACATACTCTTGAGTGTAAAATGTTTTCATCCCTAAAAACTTAGTTGCTACTATTTTGTTTGAGACAAATTTCCAATTTTGAAATGTTGTCTTATAGTGTGATATGAAGTGCTAACTGCCATTATAATTGTATTCTCTTTTGTCAATAAAGTATTTGGCTTATTTAATTTCTGCATTTTTCATAATCTAACCTTCGCTAATTTTTCTGTATTAAAATTATATTGCTAGGAGAAGAAGAGAGACTAAAATTAGTGTTAGGTGCTGATTAAAAAAATACTTTGGAAACAAAAAAGGGTGATATTTTTCTGAGCTATTTCTAAAAGTAAAAGCCCTTCTTTTTGGTTGCCGACAATGCCTTGCAGTTTGGTTGCATGTGTTTTGTTATCAAGAAATCTGATTCTTTGTACGCCTCAACTTTTAAAATTTCTCCGTTATTTAAAAAGTGCATGCTAAATAGCTGTATTTAGTATTATTAATTGGAATAATGCTAATGCTTTGAGTATAAATTAGCGTAATGTGTTCTGTCGTTGTCCTAAACAATAATTGTGTTATCTGTTGTATTGCATGATGATGAAGTATTTATACTAAATTCCAAGGTAATTATTACTTCATGTGAAGTGTAATTTTTAAGCATTCATATCTATCTTTTCATTTAGAGTTACTTTTCAAGAGTAGAGTATACATTTGAACAAATGAAATAACTTATTTTATATTTAACTTTTCTAGGGCAGCTTTGGAAGAAGTAGAAGGTGATGTGGCAGAATTGGAACTAAAACTTGATAAGGTAAATTTTACATGTGTAGCTTTTTAAAACATCGATTCTTGTTTGCCATAAATAACTATTAGTACCTACAATAGTAGGTACCGTTTTTATTTTTTGGAGACAGAGTCTCACTCTTGCTCAGGCTGGAGTGCAGTGGCATGATCTCAGCTCACTGCAACCTGTCTCCTGGGGTCAAACGATTCTCCTGCCTCAGCCTCCCAAGTAGCTGGGATTACAGGCATGCACCACGCCCAGCTAATTTTTTGTGTTTTTAGTAGAGACGGGGTTTCAACATGTTGGCCAGGCTGGACTCAAACTCCTGACCTCAGGTGATCCACCCACCTCGGCCTCCCAAAGTGCTGGGATTACAGGCGTGAGCCGTCACACCAGGCCTGGTAGCTTTTTATCTCTATGAGGGTAAATGCTATTATTATCCCAGATTTACACATGAGGAAAGTAAGACTAGAGACACTAAGTAGCTTGTGTAAAGTCTAATCTAAGTGCCAGAGCAGGAATTCGAATCTATGTCTGACTTCAAAGCTCACTAAACATCCTTTATGTTGTTAGAAGCTTTTTCTGGGGCCAGGCGTGGTGGCTCATGCCTGTAATCCCAGCACTTTGGGAGGCCGAGGCGGGCGGATCACCTGAGGTCGGGAGTTCGAGACCAGCCTGACCAACATGGAGAAACCCTGTCTCTACTAAAAAAATACAAAATTAGCCGGGCATGGTGGTGCATGCCTGTAATCCCAGCTACTTGGGAGACTGAGGCAGGAGAATCGCTTGAGCTGAGGAAGCGGAGGTTGCTGTGAGCTGAGATCGCACCATTGCACTCCAGCCTGGGCAACAAGAGTGAAACTCCGTCTAAAAAAAAAAAAAAGGGAAGCTTTTTCTGTATTTTCTACCAAAAACATCTTTCTTTTTTGTTGCTTAATGGATTTCATATATAACCTGACCATTGTATAAATTTGGGTGTGACCACGTTCAAATATAAATACAATTTAAAATATTCAATTTTTAAGCTAATGCCAGAAATGCTTAAAATATACTTAGTAATCAGTATGGTCATATTTTATGGAAGGATAAATGTACATTGATTTCCTCCATCTATATTATTGATGATTTTTTTGGTGTCTGTCCAAGAAACATTGTTTGCTATATAGTAGGCAGAAGTAGTAGAATGAGAAGACAGCTTATGATCCATTTGTTTAGATGTACTTCTGAAGCCACTGCTCATTAAAATGTTTCTCTTTAAATTTCTGGAGATAAATCAGATGTATATATTTGAAATACCTTTTCTGGAAATGATTTTCTAGTTTAATGATTATTATAAATGGCATTGCTGTGTAACGTAGTGCTTCTCAAACCTAAACTTTGCATAGGTATCCCTTGGGGATCTCATCTTGTGAAAAAACAGATTCTGCTTCAGTAGCTGGAGATACCTGAGATTTTGTGTTTGTAACCGGATTCCAGGTGACGCCCATACTGTTGGCCCATGGGCCACACTTTGAGTAGCAAGGATATAAAATACATTAAGCTGAAGGTTTTCAAACGTTTTGAAACCATGAAACACAAATCTTTATATCATATAAATAGTCTAGAAACTATATAAAATAGCATTCGTTCTATATGTAAACAAATTACATCAAAATTTTAGATGTTTAGAGATAAGTTATTTTTGTATAGTACTCTATAATTTTTAAAGCCCTGTAATATGTAGTATCTTTTTAATTTTTACAATAATCCTGTAGTGTAGGTAGGACAAGTGTTATTATTCCCATTTTATAGATGAAGATAGCAAAGCCCAAGGAAGTGACGGGGACTTGCTTCAAATTACAGAGTAGAAGAGGCACGACCAGGGTTAGAACCCCTTTTCTTTTTTTTGGGGGGGACAGAATCTTGCTCTGTCACCCAGGCTGGAGTGCAGTGGCATGATCTCAGCTCACTGCAACCTCCACCTCCCAGGATCAAGCACTTCTCCTGCCTCAGCCTCCCTAGTAGCTGGGACTATAGGCTCATTCTGCTATGCCCAGCTAATTTTTTGTATTTTAGTAGAGACGGGATTTCACTGTGTTGCCCAGGCTGGCCTGAAACTCCTGCACTCAGGCAATCTGCCTGCCTTGGCCTCCCAAAGTGCTGGGATTACAGGCATGAGCCACCGCACCCGGCCCCCTCTGTCTGTATGATCAGTTCAGTGCTCTTCTTGTGCACCCTGCACCTCAGGATCCGTGCCGGGGGAGCACACGCCACTGGGAGATGTTCTGAGGAATGCTAGCTAGCCTCCAGGCAAGTCTTTGCAAAAAGTAATGTTTTAATTTTGGATAAGGATATTTGAAAATGCCTTCCTTCGTTTTCCACTTAAAAATTACATGTCTGGCTTTTTATTACTCTTTTATTTTATTTTATTTTTTACCCTGAGGCATTACATTTGTTTTCAAGTACTCTTTGAAACAAAATTTTAAACTCTTAAGGTAGAAAACAGAAAATATAGTTTTGATTTTATGGAAGATTTATGAGAGAGTATGTAGAGGGGCAAGGCCTTTTAAAGAATCACAGTGGTGTAAGAAGGATATCTTAGTACTTATATATACAAAAATAATACATATATTATTACATATAATATACATGAAATAAGAGTAATGTAATAAGGTAGAACTGCATGTAAATCATATGAAACACTGTGGTGGGACACCTCAGAGTTTAAAATACCTAAACAGATAGAATCCACTGACAGTGTTTTTGCTGATTATTTTGCTGTTATGAGTGAATTCTTTTTTCCTTTGTATTATTCACTTGGGGTAGTGCACACTGCTAGAATCTTCAAACCAAAAGATCCAAATCTAAAACAAGTTACTGAAGTATTGACATTCAGTACTAAGAACTATAAGCCCATTCTAGAGTCTGTCTTACCCAAAGGGCTACTAAGGACACATGGAAACCTGACAGCTTAAAAAATATCACCTATTTTCCCTCCCACCGAGGTTCCATAGTTACTTTTATATTTCTCTGGTTTCTGTACCTCTCCCAAATTCTTTTTTTTTTTTTTTAATTAAAAAAATTTTTTTTTGAAATGGAGTCTTGCTGTGTCACCCAGGCTGGAGTGCAGTGGTGTGATCTCGGCTCACTGCAGCCTCCACCTTCCAGGCTGAAGCAATTCTTCGGCCTTAGCCTCCTGAGTAGCTGGGATTACGGGAGCACGCTACCATGCCTGGCTAATTTTTTGGTATTTTTAGTAGAGACGGGGTTTCACCATATTGGCCAGGCTGACCTCGAACTCCTAACTTCAGGTGATCTGCCTGCCTTGGCCTCCCAAAGTGCTGGGATTACAGGCATGAGCCACCATGCCTAGCTCAAATTGTTAATCTATTAACTATTATTTTTATTTTAGAAACTATGGGGAGTTAGCATAGAGAAGAGAGGCTGAGAGGAGGAAATGGTTGTTATTGAAGGTAGTGGCATTGAAGGACTAATAGGGGTGGTGGAGGGGTTGCTCCAAGTCTAGGTTAATGATTGCATAGCTTTGTGTGGGGCAAGTTCCACCTATAGTATCATTGTAAATCATACCAGGGACAGGTTAAACTAGCTTGTTGGCTTTGCCTATAATGTATGCCACCAGTAGTTCCATTCTTTCTGGTGAATAATGCTTTATGAGTGGCATTGCTCTACTGAGTTCAATTATTGATCCATTCTTCCTGGTGTTCTGTCATTGACAGCATCATAGTGCATCATCGTTGCCATCTAGACTTAATTTCTGCATGTGTTGCATTGTCTCACTGGCATGCTTGTCCCCCATTGAGCAGATACTCTTTAAATCTCAGCCGAGTACTACCAAGTGTTGGCTCTTTTTCTTCTGTTGCGTTATTTCGTGCATGTACTTTGATTTAAGCTGTTATAATATTGTAATTTTGGGGGGCAGCATAGCCTGGTATTAAGAACACAAAGCCTGGAGCTGCTGCTGGGTTTGAATCTGGCTCTCTCATTTACTAGCAGTGTGGCCTTGGACAAGCTCTTCAACCTTTCTGTGCCTCCGTTTCTTCTCTCCAAAATGGGGAAAATAAGAGTGTCTATTTCGTAGGATTATTATGAAACTAAAGTGAGATGATACATGTGAAGTACTTAGCACAGTTCTTGGCATGTGGTAAATTCTAAGTAAACAATGATGCTGTCTCTTCAACAGACTGTTAGCTCCTTGAAGACAGACTGTCCTTAGAAAGGAAAAAAACTGGCCCGGAGTGGTGGCTCACACCTGTAATCCCAGCACTTTGGGAGGCCGAGGCAGGCGAAGCAATTGAGGTCAGGAGTTCGAGACCAGCCTGGCTAACATGGTGAAATCCTGACTCTACTAAAAATACAAGAATTGGCTGGGTATGGTGCCCCTGGCGTGGTGGCGTGCATGTGTGCGTGCGTGCGCCACTGCACTCCAGCCTGGGTGATGGAGCAAGACCCCGTTTCCAAAGAAAAAGAAAAAACCCTTATTCGTTTTGTATACTTAGTGTATACAAAGTCCTATGTTTTACTTATATTATTTCTTACCATTATAGCAATATTGCAAAGTGGATACCCTAATTTGCACATGAAAAAACAAGAATCGGAGAGTATGTTACTCAAAGATAGTCAGCAGATCAGTTGTTTGTATTCCTATTATCTGGCAAAGTATCTATGACATAGTAATTGCTTAGTAAAAAGGTGTTGAATGAATTAGGGATATTAGTTTGATAATTTAGATGGACTTGACGTTTAATCTTGTTGTAGGTAAAAATCTTCCCTCTTTGTAGGTTTATATTATTCAGTTATAATCTCGTTTATCAGCATCATCTAACAAGTATTTTGACAGCTGGCAAAATCTCAGTCTTCTCTCTTTCTGCCTCCCTCCCTCTTCATTGCCAAGTCCATCCTTCCTCCTGGATAGCCGCAGTGTATATGTGGTTCTGCTGTATGACAATTTCCTTTCCTCTGTAACTCCTGTGATAGTGACCACTGTTCTACTTCTGCTACCTATTTCATGGCTATGTTCTGTGCCCCCTCACCCAGGGTTCTAATCTTTGAAATCTGGAATGCTGGTATCCTACTTTCTGACTTGAGTCTCCAGTCCTTCCAGTTCTCAGCCTCATTACTGCTTCTGTTTTTCAGTCCTATCTCTGGTCTTTCACTATCCACGTGTGATATTTCAGATCACTTTTTTTTTTTTTTTAATTTTAAGTTCTGGGATACATGTGCAGACTGTGCAGGTTTGTAACACAGGTATACATGTGCCATGGTGGTTTGCTGCACCTATCAACCCATCATCTAGGTTTTAAGTCCCGCATGCATTTGTCCTAATGCTCTCCCTCCCCTCGCTCCACCCCCGAAAGACCCCGCTGTGCGATGCTCCCCTCCCTGTGTCCATGTTTTCTCATTGTTCAACTCCTACTTATGAGTGAGAACATGCGATGTTTGGTTTTCTGTTCCTGTGTTAATTTGCTGAGAATGATGGTTTCCAGCTTCATCCATGTGTCTGCAAAGGATGTGAACTCATTCTTTTTTATGGCTGCTCAGATAGTTTTTAAATACACTTCAATGTATTCCTCTTTTTTGTAATTAAAAAAAGTTGAGATAAAATTAACCTAACATAAAATCCACTGTTTCAAAGTGTGTGATTCATGGTTTTTAGTATAGTCCCAGTGTTGTACAACCATCACCACTATCTAATTCCAAAATATTTTTCACCCCAGAAAGAAACACTGTATCTATTAGCATTCACTCCCAATTCTCTTCTCCCTCTATCTTCTGGCAACAGAATCTACTTTCTGTCCCTGGCATGGTGCATTTTCTGAACATTTCAAATAAATGGAATAATACAATATTTGGTCTTATGTGACTAGCTCCTTTCTCTTAGCATAATGTTTTTAAGATTCATCCATGTTATAGCATATATCAGTCCTTTGTTTTTATAGCCGGATAATGCATCATTGCATGGATGTACCTCATTTTGTTTCTCCGTTCATCAGTTGATGGACATTTGAGTTGTTTCTCTTTTTTGGCTGTTGTGAATAATGCTGCTATGATCCCTTTCAGAGTACCCTTAATTTTATTACATCATTATTTCTCTTCAGAGACTTTCATGTCCCTTCCGTAACACCTACTCTGCAGAATTCTCCACTATTTTAAGTCTAACCATCTATATTATTTGTCCCATATCTGGCCTACAAAACCCTACAGGGGAAGTTACACAACTGTTTGGTGAAACCAACTGATGGTGCTACACATTCCTGGAATTCTTGATATAAAGCAGTTTCCCCCAAACCTAGTCAGGTTCCTTTCTTGTTACCGTTAGTGGCTCTTCAAGACCTCAAGATTTGCCACATTGTTCTTCATTCTTAGCAGATGACCTTGTCTCTTCTTCTGCTTGGTGGGAAATGCCTTTATTTCTTGCTCCTAATCTAGAAGTTTAACAGGATCTGTTCTTAGCATTTTAGTTTTTCTGCTTCTTTGAATGATAAAAGTATCCCTTTTTCTATGCATTTGCAAGCCCCCTGCCTCCTCAGGACTTCGCTTTAGCATCTCTCTCCTTTCCCTTCTCTGCAACCTCTACCTTAAATTGATAAAGTTTATTTATTTGTTTATTTTTTAAATAAGTTTGTTTCTTAGTAAAACAAAACAAAAGCAAGCAACAATAAGAAAACCTCCCCCTCTGACAAGGAAGCACAAATCTCTATTGAATAATTACCATGTGCCAGTAACAGTTTGTGCTAAGAATCTTTTTTTTTTTTTTTTTAAAGACAGACATAGGGTCTCACCATGTTGACCAGGCTGGTCTCAAATGCCTGGCCTCGAGAGATCCTCCCATTTTGGCCTCCCAAAGTGTTGGGCTTACAGATATGAGCCACTGACCTGTGCTAAGAATCTTTATGCGCATTATCTTACTCTTTTTTTTTTTTAGTTACCATATATGGTTTGGTACTATTGTTACGTATGATACAGAAGAAGAAATGGAAGTTTGTTGAGGTTAAGGTCACTCAGGCTCACTTAGATGTTTAACAGTAGGTTGAACCTAAGCAGACTTAGCTGAGAACCCTATGTTTTTTACCATATGTTTTACTATTAACCTGTCTCTCTTTGTTTTTATGGAAACTTTTAATTATTTTTTAATTTAATTTGTTGCATAATACGACCTGTGTAGTACACAATTTGAAGGTAAAAAAGTGTGTACCCAGTGAAAATCAGTCATTTTCTAATCTCTTTCCTAGAGGAATGCACTGAACTAGTTTCTCTTGTGCCCTTGCACAATTCTCTTTTTTTTTTGAGACAGCCTTGCTCTGTCACCAAGACTGGAGTACAGTGGCATGATCTCAGCTCACTCCACCTCCCGGGTTCAGGCAATTCTCCTGCCTCAGCCTCCCGCCTAGCTGGGACTACAGGTGTGCACCACCATGCCTGGCTAATTTTTGTATTTTTAGTAGAGATGGAGTTTTGCCATGTTGGCCAGGCTGGTCTTGAACTCCTGACCTCGAGTGATCTGCCCATCTCGGCCTCCCAGAGTTCTGGGATTACAGGTGTGAACCACTGTGCCTGGCCTTTTCACAGAATTTTCTACGCATATAAAAGTATTTGTACTCTTCAGTACAAATGACTGTCCCCATTTCAACAAAAATTTTAGCACTGTTCTACGTTTTGATTTTTCTCTTAATATATCATGGATGTTATTTGTTGTTATAGAGCTGTCTCATTTTAAAAAAGTAGTTGAATTGTATTACCTTGAATGGATATATCGTAATTTATTTAGCTGTCCACTGACGGACACTTAGCTTGCTACCAGTATTTTACTGTGACTGCAGTGAATAACTTTACATGTGTCATATGGCTATCTGTAAAATATAATTGTATAATACATTTTAAAAAGTGAAATTGCGAAGTTAGAAGGTATGTGTGTTTTAAATTTTGGTAGCTCTTGCTAAACTGCCTTCTGTAGATATTGTACCACCTTGGATCCAACAAGGGTGCGTAGGAGTGACTATTTCCCCATACCTACCCTCTTTAAAACAGCATGTTATCAAACTTTTTGATCTTTGCCGTTAGTTTAAAAAAAAAAAAAAAGTAATTTCTGTTTCTTTTATTATGAATGAGAATGAATATCTTTTCATGCGTTTAAGACACATGTATTTCTTTTTTTGGGGGGGGATAATTATCTCTGCATGTATGTTATCCATTTTTTCTAGTGAATAGTTGGATTTTCAAAATAATTTATATACCCTTTCTTATGGTAGGGAAATTTCTCCTTTGTGATTTATCTTAATATTGTTCTCCTATGTTGTTTCTTTTGATTGTGTCTGTTTTTTCCTTATAGGAATGTCTTATATAATTGGATCGATCAGTTTTTTTTTTTTTTTTTTTTTTTGCATAGTATTTGAGCTTTGCATCCTTCTCTGACTTCCCACTTTGAGATTATTGAAAAAAAAGAAAAACCTTCTGTTTTCTCTTTGATTTCTGATTTTGTTTTTATGTTTAAATCTTTATCTGTAATTAACTTGGGGGTCTGTAATACAATTTAATTTCTTTTTTTATCGCCTTAGGTTGACTATCCAGTGTCCCTAATATCATTTATCAGATAACTTTTCCCCCACTGGCTGGAATATTACTTTAATCAAATATGGCATATTTGTATCTGTTTTTTTGACTGTGTATTCTCTTACATTATCAGTTTGTCTATTTGCATTTACTACCAGACTTTTATTTACTTTCCTTTTATAATATATTTTAATATCATATAATAGTAATGTTCCTACCTTATTACTCTTCTTCAAATATTTTTTTTGCTCTTCTTGCATAGCGGTTACTCCATATGAACTTTAGAATCAGTTTTTCTGGCAAGACATTTTATTTCATATTATAAATAGCAAACGATTTAAAAGACATCGGTGCCAGCATTTCTCACGGTGGGTTTTGTGGAACGTTGGTCATATAATAATGCTTCCTCTCACACGAATTGTTTTTGGGAAATGCTACCTATTGTATACCTCCCCTCTTGGATGCACACTGATAAATCAAAAGCCCGTAAGAGTATAGCAATATCTTCTGTTGCCTTTTCTAGGAATCTTGCCCTGGTCCCCACAGCCCTGGTTAGATGGTCTTCCTTTTTTCTTTCATGCATAGTTTTGTCATAGTAGTTGTGTTTGTGCTCTATAGAATTTATCTACTTGTTAGAATTATAGAATTAGAGTTTTTGAGAGCAGAGATTATGCTTTCAATTTCTGTTCCCCTAGGTCTTAGGGCAGCAGTTTTAATTTATACTCTTGAGATCCTTCAGGGGTTTTCTAAAGTTTTTCTTGGCTCTTTATCCTCTTCTTGGTGACCCCCCTTTCCGTCCCCTCAGTACTTTTCTCTCCTTTGTCTAGAACAGTTTCACTTTCATCTGTTTTTTAATATTTGACATTTACCCAAGATTTTGGTAAAAAAAAAAATGTTCTGTGCCTGAAAGAAAGGAGAGAAAGAAGGAAGGAAGGAATGGAAGAACAGGGAGATGGAGGGATAAAGGGAATGAAAAGAAGGAGGGGAGAGAGAAAGAGAAAGATGAAAGAAAGAGAAGAGCCCAGTACGAAGGCGTAGACGATGCCTGGAACAATGGGTATTAGAGAAATTTTTTTTTTGAGTACATGGTTGATCAATCACTTTAGACATCTGCTTTGATAGACTAACATTGAAATGATCAGTAAGCTATCATACTAGTTTACTTGCCTTTCCTCCAACATACTTTTGTTATTGTTATCACACAACCTCTGGATCCTAAAAGGTCAACTTCTTTGGTACAACTCTGCTATGGATTTACCTTATAAACCAAAGGAGAAAAGAATACTTTTCAATTAGTCTGTTTTGAGTTTATTGATGAAACAAATTGAACTTAACTAGGTCACCTCGTATAGTTACTGCCAGCACTTGTTCAGCTAAGTAATTTGTAAAATTATCTTCATCCTGATGAATATTTTTTTCTTTTTCAGCTTGTGAAGCTTTGTATTGCAATGATTGACACTGGAAAAGCCTTTTGTGTTGCAAATAAACAGTTCATGAATGGGATTCGAGACCTGGCTCAGTATTCTAGTAACGATGCTGTAGTTGAGGTTAGTATTACTGAAATTACAGTTAAAAATGAAAAAAAAAAAAAAGCAATAAGAGATTAAAGAATTGTGCATTCATCTACCTCATTTAGTTATGGAGATACTTAGAAGTAGAAAAGTGATCACCCCTAGGTGCTGTCTTGTATTATTCTGTTTTCTACGATAGAAGTTGATGGTTTATTTGCAGTGCGCATTATCTAGCATGGCTCTTCTCACCTAGTTTCTTACTATTTTGTTTAGTTTACTAAGTTTACTTGCTGCTAGGTGAGCTGAAGCACCTGTCAGAGGGCCTGAGCAGGAAGATCAAGATCATGCCTCCTAGTAGCTGCTTATAGGGACACGCAGAGGGCATTAACCTGAGTGTAGTGTCTAACTCTATGTATGGGGGCTGTGTAGGTACTGGTCAGCCAGCTTATGCTGGGTTACCTTAGATCCCTTGGTGTACTGTGTGGTGTTATATTTCTTTCATGAGAAATAATAACTGGTGAAGAAATGATTGTAGTTTGATGATTATTTGATCCTAGATGCCTACATGGGTCATCTTGATACACTCAAAACAGTTTTACCTTAGGTTTATATTTGCCATTTCTATTGGTAGCATAATACTATTGAAGGGGCAGTACTAATTCTTTCACATTTTTAGGGTTTTATTTGTTACCACATGTAGACTTGACCTCTGCAGAGTGTACCTGTGAGGTAGTGAGATTGTCCCCGCAAATAAATGTTACTGTTTACAGTGTAACTTGATCTGTCAGAAATGCTGAGGTCACATTTTTGTGACCTGTTTAAATGGCTCTTAAATGATTTGGTTTTCTTTTGATTTCTTTCTTATAGACAAGTTTGACCAAGTTTTCCGACAGTCTTCAAGAAATGATAAATTTTCACACAGTAAGTGTCAGTAAGTAGGTGTTAACTATGACCGTATTAACATTTTAGTATTTTTCTTGAGTCGCAATATTTTATGAAATGACTAAAAGTGAATTACATGGCTTTGATTTGTCATCAGCTTTTTAGTTGGGTGAATCTAAAATGTACACTGTGTATGTATTTGTGTGTGTGTGCGCGTGTGAAAGAAGAGAATAAGAGTATTATTTTCCATTCTAATACAGTGAACTTAATATAATTGAAGGACATACCCCCAAAAGTTAATTTTTTTTCCCTTTAAGTTGTGGTTTTTAAAATTTTTAAGCATGTATTTTAAGAATAAAGAAGCAAAAGTCATTTTAAATGTAGCTATTTCTTTTTAGATACTTACCAATATATCCCCTTTATCTAAACAATTACCAATATTAAAGAGTGCTATATTCTTTGAGCTATTTATATGTGCATTTAAGATTTGTGGGCATTTATCCTTCAAGAATGAGGGATATATATTACTTTGGGAATGTACAAAATTCCTTTACAAAGTTTATGAAAGTTTACTGCAAAAATCACAGCTTATAAGCTGTATGTTTCTTATATTTTTAAAAAAGCTTAACTGATATGGCTGTTGTATAATTATTTAATCAGTGCTTTAAAATTTATTAGCTGCTGTCTGTACTAAGAATATCAATACTTATAATCTTCATAAAATCTGCTTGTTTTTGGTTCTTAATTTGATTTTCTTAATTTTTTTGTTGGTTAACATATTTAGGATGAAGTAATATGACAATGTTGATTTTAATTGCAGTTCAAATTTTAGCTATACCAATATTGACATGTACAAGTATCTGCTTGAGTGACTGTTTTCGGTTCTTTTGGGCATGTACCTAGGTGTAGAATTACTGGGTCATGTGGTAATTCTATGTTTAACTTTTTGAGAAACTGCCAAACTGTTTTCTACAGAGACTATACCATTTTACATTTCCACCAGTAGTGTTTGAGTGTTCCAAGTTCTCCGCATTGTTATCATCACTTGTTATTTTCAATTTTTTTTTAAAAAATTTATAACCATCCTAGTAGGTGTGAAGTGGTATCTCATTGTAGTTTTGATTTGCATTTCCCTAGTGACTCATGCAGTTGAGTATCTTTTATGTGCTTACTGGTTTCTTGTGTATCTTCTATCATTGTTAGCATTGTTGTTTATTGAAGTCCTTTATTTATTTAGAGATAGGGTCTCACTCCGTCACCCAGACTGGAGTACAGTGGCACAGTCATACCTCACTACAGCCTGGAACTCCTAGGCTTAAGTGATCCTCCTACTGTAGCCTCCCAGTGAGCTAGGACTACAGGCGTGTGCCACCATGCCAGGCTAATTTTTTTTTTTTTTTTTGGTAGAGATGAGGTCTTGTTCTTTTGCCCAGGCTAGTCCTCAACTCCTGGGCTCAAGCCATCCTCCTGCCTCAGCCTCTAAAGCACTGGGATAACAGGTGTGAGCCACTGCACCCAGTCCCTTTGTCAGTTATTTAATTGGGCTTTGTTGTTGTTGTTGTTGTTGTTGACTTATACTTGTTTTACATAGTTTGGATATTAAACCCTTATCAGTATATGTTATACAAATATTTTCTCTCATTTTGTAGGTTTTCTTTTTTACTTTCATGAAAATATCCTTTGACACACAAAAGTTTTTAGTTTTGATGAAGTCTGAAGTTCAGTTTCTCTACTTTGTCTTTTGTTGTTTGTGTTTTTGGTGTTATGTGTGAGGGAATTCATTGCCAAATTCAAGGTCATAAAGATTTAGCCTTACGTTTTCTTCTAAGAGTTTTATGATTTTAGCTCTAGTATTTGACACCATTTGACCACATAATAGTTTTCTTTTTGCCTTCTGTTGAATTTAGATGGCAGTGTTTGGTATATTTGATTTCTCTTTAAACCAAATGTAATTTAGTAAGAAAGTTTTTTTTTTTCTTTTTGATGTAAGTGATTGACTTTAAATTGACATAATAGACTAGATGTTTTCTCTATAATTTATTATCCTTTGAAATATTCCTCTCCTTAAAGCAGTAAACCTTATGCTGTTTCTTTATATAATAATACCTTGCTCTTTGTTACGGTTTTATATGTGAAAAGTTATGATTAAGATAAACTTTTGGTAAATTTTTTTTTTTTTTTTTTTTTTTTTGAGACAGAGTCTGGCTGTGTCTCCCAGGCGATCTTGGCTCAACACAGCCTCCACCTCCTGGGTTCAGGTGATTCTCGTGCTTCAGCCTCCCAAGTTGCTGGGGCTACAGGCATGCACCACCGTGCCTGGCTAATTTTTGTACTTTTAGTAGAGACGGGGTTTTGGCATGTTGGCCAGGCTGGTCTCAAACTCCTGGCCTAAAGTGATCCACCCACCTTGACCTTCCAAAGTGTTGGGATTACAGGCGTGAGCCACTGCACCTGGCCTTGAAGCAAGGTATATATGTATTGTTTCCTTTGGAGGAATAGAGATTGGTCTTTGTTTTGTTTTGTTTTGTTTTTTTTTGTTTTGTTTTGAGACGGAGTCTCGCTCTGTTGACAGGCTGGAGTGCAGAGGCGCAATCTCAGCTTACTGCAACCTCTGCCTCCTGGGTTCAAGGGATTCTTCTGCCTCAGCCTCTGGAGTAGCTGGGACTACAGGTGCCCGCCACCATGCCCAGCTAATTTTTTTGTATTTTTAGTAGAGTTGGGGTTTCAACATGTTGGCCAGGATGGTCTCGATCTCTTGACCTTGTGATCCACCTGTCTTGGCCTCCCAAAGTGCTGGATTACAGGCGTCAGCCATTGTACGCAGCTGAGATTGGTCTTTTTAATACCAGTGCTCTTAATCTTAATGTGCACTTACACTCCTGAAACCTGTGCAGATTCCACTTTTCTCACTTTTCTTTCTCTCTTCTTCCTTCCTCCCTTCCTCCACCTCCCTTCCTCCCTTCCTCCCTTCCTCCCTCCCTCTTTTTTTTTTTTTTTTCTATTCCTTATACTTGAGAAACCTCATACTCTCTGTTGACTATAAAACTCGTTGCTTTAAAAAGATAGTTTGTATACTAAGAAAAAAATCACTCTTTGTCCATCTGCCTGGAGGTCTGAAGGCTGCATGTTGGTCAGCTTGTTTGTGTTTACATACATGTTTCTATACAAGAAGAACTTTTTGTCTGACACTATACCCAGAAGTCCACTGTGTATTTTATTCTCTTATTCTTTTTGACAGCATCTCAGAAATTTTCCTTTTAATAGATATAAAAATGAAATTGTGAGTCCTTGGTTTACTTTCTTTTAATTTTCTTCTTTTTATAGTTAACATGCCATCTAAAATCTGGTCTTTTTGTTGTTTTGTAACCAATACTTTAAATTTTTTTCAGTAGGAATGACTTGTGTCACTTGAACTAGAATTCCTATATTTGTGGCAAAAGTTCTTCCCTCATCATAGCCCTGTTATACTTCACTTTAATTAGACTATGGCTAGGGATAACACTTACCTTGTTTACTGTTATACTCCCGGTAGTTATATAATTCTCATTTTAGGGAAGTCATTTAATTTTTCTGAGATTCACATTCCTCCTCTGTAGGCTGGGCGTGGTGGCTCATACCTGTAATCCCAGCACTTTGGGAGGCTGAGGTGGTTTGATTGCTTGAGCCCCATTAGAGACCAGCCTGGGCAACATGGCGAAATTTGGTGTCTACAAGAAATAGAAAAATTAGCTGAGTGTGGTGGCTCACGTCTGTAGTCCCAGCTCCTCAGGAGGCTGAGGTGTGAGGATAACTTGAGCCTGGGAAGTTGGGGTCACAGTGAGCTATGATCGCACCACTGTACTGCAGCCTGAGACACAGTGAGACCATGTCTCCAAAAAAAAAAAAAAAAAAAGATTTACATTCTTCCTCTATAAAATGAAGGGGATTTACTAGATGACTTTTCATTATTAAAAATTTATTATATGATTTCAATTTGTTCTCAGAGCCATTTGTTAGAATGCAGAAAAAGCCTAGTTATATAAAATGCTTTTTTTTTTTTTGTAGCATTCTCTGGAATTCTAATTGCATAGCATCCCAGTATAAAGGATGATCAAGAAAAACTGCTTTCTGAAACAATAAATAGTGTAACCTGCATTAGATTCTGTAGCAGAGCTCATAACAATTGGGCTTTGGTATATCAGTTTGTGTAAGGATAAAAGTCTGGATATTTCAGAGGGGTCATTTATGAACTTTGTGGGCTTAAATAAACATTTGAAAATAATAAAACCATTTGTGTTATTAGCCAAATAAAGATTAAACATATGTTGGAGTCAGATTGTCCGGTCATTTAATACAATAAATCATTTAGATTATCATGTAATTTATTTATTTATCTGTAAAAATGGATAGAACTCTTCTTACTCCTTTTAGAATGAGAATATCCTAGGTTTCTCTTTAACTCATATGTTGTTGTTGTTGTTGTTGTTGTTGTTTCTGTGAAATGGAGTCTCGCTCTCTCTCCCAGGCTGGAGTGCAGTGGCGCGATCTTGGCTCACTGCAACCTCCACCTTCCAGGTTCAAGTGATTCTCTTTCCTCAGGAGTATTATGTTTAAAATTCTTTTGTTTTATCACTATACATATATATGTATCTTTTTTGAGACGGAGTCTTGCTCTGTTGCCCAGGCTGGAGTATGTGGTCTTGGCTCACTGCAACCTTCGCCTCCCAGGTTCAAGCGATTCTTATGCATCAGCCTCCCAAGTAGCTGGGATTACAGGTGCCCACCACCACACCTGGCTAGCGTTTATATTTTCAGTAGAGATGGGGTTTCACCATGTTGGCCAGGCTGGTGTCGAACTTCTGACCTCAAGTGATCGGCCCACCTTGACCTCCCAAAGTGCTAGGATTACAGGTGTGAGCCACTGCGCTTGGCCTTAACGCATATATTTTTATAAGATGTGAGCACACATGACTTTTTCAGAGCAGGTCATGTATGCTACATTCTACTAGATATTAGAATTTGTTTGAAGAGTGGCTTATTTTCCTAGAATTTAAGAGATTTTGGTGATTCCATTGATGACACTTTTGGATTCTAACTTGCTGTTGGTATAAGGAACTTGGAGTATTTATTTGATTATTATCTTTGCTGAATGCAGCTTTAAAGTTGATTTGGTACATAAATTCTGTGAACATGTATGAGTCTTTTTGCTATCTGTCTGTCAATCATTTTTGAGATGGGGTCTTGCTCTTTTGCCCAGGCAGTTAGTGTGATCATAACTCACTGCAGCCTTGAATTCCTGGGCTTAAGTGATTCTCCTGCCTCAGCCTTCTGAGTAGCTGGGACCACAGGCATTCACCACCATGCTCAGCTAATTTTTTAATTTTTTTGTAGAGATGGGGTCTTGCTATATTGTCCAGGCTGGTCTCAAACTCCTGGGCTGAAGTGATCGTCCTGCCTCGGCTTCCCAAAGTGCTGGAATTACAGGTGTGAGTCATTGTGCCTGGCCAGTATTTTTTTTTTTTTTTGTACATTTGATTTTTCAATTTAGAGCTGTACACTTACTCAACAAATGGTTTTAGACAGTGAGAACAGGGTAGTTTCAGTGTTTCCCAACTCCTGTCATCTCATGGCACAGATCGAAAATGACAGTCATGTTTGTATGGAACACTGGAGAAAACTTCATGGGGAGATAAGGGCACCTATCTGGGTGAAAAAATTTTAAGTTTCTTTTTAATCAAGTTATATTTTTAGAAAACACAGTGTTAGGGAAGATATTGTGTATTGAATGTGTATAACACTTCCAGATGTTTTATTTTTATTTATTTATTTTTTATTTTTTGAGACAGAGCCTTATTCTGTCACCCAGGCTGGAATGCTGTGGTGCGATCTTAGCTCTCTGCAACCTCTGCCTCCCGGGTTCAAGCGATTCTCCTGCATCAGCTTTCCAAGTAGCTGGGATTACAGGTACCTGCTTCCAGGCCCAGCTAATTGTTGTAGTTTTAGTAGAGAAGGGGTTTTACCATGTTGGCCAAGCTCGTCTCTTAACTCCTGACCTCAAGGTGATCTGCCCACCTTGGTCTCCCAAAGTGCTGGGATTACATGAGTGAGCCACCATGCCTGGTCCAGATGTTTTAAAAAAATAGGATTGTGGCCGGGCGCGGTGGCTCACGCTTGTAATTCCAGCACTTTGGGAGGCCGAGGCGGGCGGATCACGAGGTCAGGAGATCGAGGTCCGTACTGGCTAACACGGTGAAACCCCATCTCTACTAAAAATACAAAAAATTAACCGGGCGAGGTGGCGGCGCCTGTAGTCCCAGCTACTTGGGAGGCTGAGGCAGGAGAATGGCGTGAACCCGGGAGGCAGAGCTTGCAGTGAGCTGAGATCGCGCCACTGCACTCCAGCCTGGGTGACAGAGCGAGACTCCGTCTCAAGAAAGAAAAAAAAAAAATAGGATTGAGCTTGCTTCAATAAACATAACTTTTTAATAAAGGTCTTTTACGGGAGGCTGAGACGGGAGAATGACCTGAGCCCGGAGAATGACCTGCGCCCAGGAGGTGGAGCTTGTAGTGAGCTGAGATGGCGCCACTGCACTCCAGCCTGGGCGACAGAGCAAGACTCCATCTCAAAAAAAAAAAAAAAAAAAAAAGAGGTTTTCTGCATGAAATACTTTCAAGCAATTCCTGGTCAAGATTTAAAATTGATGATCCTATCAAATTATTGGTCATTGTTAATGATGAGAAACTGCCTATATAGGCATATTAGCAAAAGGCAGAGGAATATTCGTTGCCCTTTTCTTCTGACTCTCAGGGGCTCCTCTCTCACATGTAATTAGAACTTAAATAATTGTATCTTCTTAAGTTGTATTTCAAAGAGGCAATCATTCATAAAATGGAAGTGCTCTTCTTTTTCTCTGATTGACACGAGTAATGCTTATATTTTCTGGGACAAATTGGATTTTTTGTTTTTTAGGTAGCGTCTTGCTCAGCCCCCAGGCTGGAGTGCAGTGGCGTGATCTCGGCTCACTGCAACCTCCGCCTCCCGGGTTCAAGTGAATCTTGTGCCTCAGCCTCCCTAGTAGGTGAGACTACAGGCGCTTGCCACCATGCCTGGCTAATTTTATTTTTTATTTTTTATTTTTAGTAGAGATGGGGTGTCAACAAGTTGGCCAGGCTGGTCTCAAACTCCTCACCTCAAGTGATCCACCCGTCACTACCTCCCAGAGTGCTGGGATTACAGTGTGTGACCTGGATGGATTTTGAATAAAATAATGAAGCCTTTCTGCAGGTTTACACAGAAGTTGCTCTACCTCTTCCCCCTTCTACCTACTTTTAATGATTCTCTTTTTGAATTCAGACGATTGCACTGACTCACTTAGTGACTCATTTTCAGCTTCATATTTCCACAGTCTGAATCCATAAAGTTTGTCAGTATATGTTTTTTTGTTTTGTTTTGTTTTGCTTTGTTGGTTTTTTTTTTTTTTTTTTTTAAAGACAGAGTCTTGCTCTGTCGTCTTGGAGTGCAATGGTGTGACTCTGCTTACTGCAACCTCCGCTTCTTGGGCTCAGGCAATTCTTCTGCCTCAGCCTCCTGAGTAGCTGGGATTATAGGTGCCCACCACCACACCTGGCTAATTTTTGTACTTTTAGTAGAGATGGACTTTCACCATGTTGACCAGGCTGGTTTCCAACTCCTGACCTCAAATGATCCACCCGCCTTGGCCTCCCAAAGTGTTGGGATTACAGGTGTGAGCCACCGCCCCTGGCAGTGTATGTGAATTGTCAAAAATTTTAAGGACTGCTTCATATAAGTTAATCGGATAGCAGGGTGCCAGTTAGTAAAGCCATGTTTTACAGTCAATAACTAGTGTTAAACAAATCTGCAAGTTGAGAATTATTCCTCCCAAGCTGTTTGAATTCTACTTTTAATTCATAAAGTTTAGCAGAATTTGTTCTCTGGAAGTCAGTGCACTTTTGTATGAAATAGAAGATAATGATATTCTCATAGTATTTCTTTGATGATACTAAATGTTTAACTAGTCTTAGATTTATTATTTTGATAACATTTAGTTTGGGATTAATATGTATCATATCTCTATGCATACTTTTATATATGAAAGATCCTCTGTGAAATGTTTTACTAGATCATCAGAGTTTTCCAAATAAATTTATTTTTATTTTTAAATGAACTTCTGGGCTCAAGCAATCTTCGCATCACCAAGTGCTGGGATTACAGATGTGAGCCACTGCGCCTGGCTCCAAATAAATTCTTAATGTAAATTTATATCTTGCGGTCATTGTTAGCTACACTATCAGTATGCAAAATTCAGTGTTTCCATAATATCTTTTTTGTTTCAAAGTTTTTCTTCAGCATTTTTACTTTCATCATTAGGCCTTTTTTTTTTTTTTTTGAGACGGAGTCTCTCTTTCTCGCCCAGGCTGGAGTGCAGTGGTCCCATCTCGGCTCACTGCAAGCTCCGCCTCTTGGGTACATGCCATTTATCATTAGGCATTTCTTTAGGTAGTTTGCAAACAGTCAGTGCTCTTCCAAGATACCATATTCAGAATTTATTTATTTTGATTTGAGATAGAATTTTGCTCTGTCACTAAGGCTGGAGTGCAGTAGTATGATCATAGCTCACTGCAGCCTCAATCTCCTGGGCTCAGGTGATCCTTCTGCCTCAGTCTTCCAAGTAGTGGGACTGCAGGTGTACCACCATGCCTGGATAATTTTTTTTTGTAGAGAGGGGTGTCTTGTTGTGTTGCCCAGGCTAGTCTTGAACTCCTGAACTCAACTGATGTTCTTGCCTCAGCCTCCCAAAGTACTGGGATTACAAGATGTGAGCTATTGTGTCTGGCTTTTTTTTTTTTTGTAGAGACAGGGTCTCACTATGTTGCCCAGGTCACTATTGAGCTCTTGTGCTAAAGCGATCCTCTCTGGGACTCCCAAGTGCTGAGATCAGAGGCATGAATCGCTGTGTCCAACCTCAGATATTTTTTTCTGCTATTGAGCACAGTTACTAATGTGCAGAAGCATCACTCAGCAATGAAAACTTTTTGATAGAGTATTTAGGATTAGCCATTATGCATGTGTTTATCTGGCATGCCATAAAATGTTATTCTCTTGATGAAATGTGGCACCGTTTCTATTTCTTGTGCTGCTTTGGGAATTAACAAAGTTCTTGACCTTTTTTTTCTGTAGGCTGGTACATTGTACAATTCTGCAATTGTATGCAGCATTCTGGCTGTAGCTCTTAATTGAGTAACCTTGTAGTTAGCTTCTTGATCTGATATTATTGTAACTAATCTTGGAAAATAACTTTCTGTCTAATT